GAGCCCGATGCGGGGCTCGATCCCAGGACCCTGGGATCATGACCTGAGCCGAAGGCAGACGCTTAACGACTGAGCCACCCAGGCGCCCCTGCATTCTATATTATACAAACTCATAGTGAGCTACAGAGGCAGGAACTCGGGTCTTACTCTGTGGGGGATTCTCAGCCCCTTGCACATATTAGGGGCTGCATCACACGTTTTTATCAAATGGCTAAATGAATTGTAGGCATGCATCTGTCTCCCCCCTCTATCAGCCTAGTCAAATTTCAGCCCAGGAGGCCCAGCCCGGCCAGATCAGCAAATATCCCAGAGGAGGGAACTGAGACATTTGCGTACAGGTGGGCATTCCCTCTGCACCTGCGCCTCTCACCCAGCACCATTTTCAAAGGGAGCAGGTCCTTGTTGAGTGCAACTCTGGGCTCCCTTCTGGCGGGTCTCTGATTGGGTTTGGCCAATGGCTGGCAGGAGTTTGGAGGGAGGGAAGAAAGGGAGACGAAGGTATTTCTTCCCCAGCCCGTCCTACTCTGATTTCACGTGTCTGATATTAGCTGAACAGAGCAGGTTGCGGAAAACGGAAAATGGATCTGGAGAAGGGCTTGTGGAGAATAATGAGCTCAGAGACCCATTTCTGAGATGGGAATTTCCGGATGGTCTGTTGTCATGGGTCGGTGTTGTGACAGGAGACCCCAGGGCAAGTGTGATGTTGGGGTCTCTAAGCCCTGATGTTGGCCTGTGCTCAGCCCAGGGTGCTCCGCAAGCGCAAAGATCAGCGGACCAGGACAGACAGAGGCAGGCACGGACTGAGGCCGAAGGCCACCAGAGTAACCCCCCAAAACCACATCGAAATGGAAATGCCATCTTGATGTAATACTTGATGTCATTATTAAAGCTGTCTTACAGGCATTATTTCATTTGATCCCCAAGCAACCCTTGAAGAGAAGTATTTTGATAGGGAAACTGACCTAATCAGGCCTGCTGGACAAGTCAACAGTGAAAAAGACCGAAGTCTGCTGACTTCCAGTCTGTGATCTGTGTCACCTTTGACTGATCTGGGCTCTATTCCCAACTGCTCCCGTTACGAGCCCCGTGACTTTGGGCAAGGGACTCAACCTCTCTGTGTTTCTTCATCTGTAAGACAAATGTAGTACGTTTCTCTAGTGATTTTTGTAAAGACAAAGTGAGAGAGAGGAGCTTCTCAGAGGCTGGGAGAGGGAACAGTGCTTGGGGCTTTCCATGAGAGGCCGAGACCAGGCCGCCTTGAGCTTAGCTGCCAGGCCTGAGGCTGCTAGAACCATAAGCTTTGGACCTGCGGGGGGGGCGGGGGGGGGCTGGCCCCTGGCTGACAGAGTGTGTCAGCCCTGGGCTTTTGTACAACCCCAAGGGGTGGGAGGAACTCCCCCCTCACCCACTGAGCAAATGGTACGTGCCACCAGCAGGCAGGTAGGAACTAAGCCAGATTTAATGTCATTTTTTTTTAAAGGGGAATTGATCTTTTCTGTGAAAAATTAAATGAAATAATTACATTAAAAAACACCAACTTATTTGTTGCCTAATTCTTAGTAGAGGCTATATACTAGTTAGTTCCCTTCCTACATTTAACACTAAAGGGTAGGTCAGGCTCATCACTAGCAGGATTCTGGAACACAGACTAGTCCTTCATGAGCCTGGTAGGCGTGCAGGATTGGTGACAGCAGGCTGCCCGTTAGCTTCCGTCCAGGAACAGGGCGAGAACTACTGAAAGGGCCCCGGGAGCTCCCAGTCCAGGTCTGCTGCGTTCCCGGGGCAGAGCACGGAAACCGGCAGCTGGAGCTGACCACTCCGGGAGCAGAGCTAGTTTGACCCCCACCTGCCTCCAGGTCACCTCGGCCACACGGTGACCATCCCAGCACACCATGTGGGTGTGTATCTGCAGTGGATGGGGTGCCCCGGATGCCCTAAAGAGAGGAAAGCTAGCCTGGCCCCCACCATTAGCCCTCCTCGGCGTCCAGGCAGCTAGAAACTCTGGCAGCCGCCATGGCCAGAGTTGGCAAGGCAGACCTTTGCCCTCACCCTCTGCACACTGGGGAGGGAAGGAAATGAGGGGAGGAGGCAAGGGCCCAAAGGCACCTGTCGTCCTTCTGAAAGGGCTTGGAGAGCTAGGGCAGAAGGGACCCGGTGCTGGAGGCAGGGATAACCGAAGGGAGGGAAGGGGGAGCAGAGCCTCTGTGTGCAGAGTCAGGAGGCGTGCAAACAGACCCCAGTCTTTCGCTTACGAGCCTTGTGACCTTGGGACCATTACCATGGGAGCCCGTTTCTTCAGCTGAAATATATGAATCATAGTCCTCATGCCACACGGAGGACCCTTGCGAAAATCACAGTTAATGATATGCACGCTAATGTCTGTGCCCCCCACAGCCAGAAACGCAGTTTATTTTGCTCACAGCTGTACCCCTAGCACCCTCTGGCCTGGCCATAGAAAGGATTCAATAAATGTCTACTGATACCTGATCAGAAGGGGCCATCACAGCTCCTGGTGGTTTTGAGGGTATTTGTGGACACACCGCCACGAGGAGCAGAAGGTCAGGAGAGTCTGACGGTGGAGGGTGCCTCGAGTTGAGCCCCCGGGAAGCTGCCCTCTAGCAGTGAGCCTGGAACAGGACAGAAATGTGGCTGGTGAGGTAGAGCCCCAGGAATGAGAGTGAGGCCCCCTCCCTGGGAACGGTGGCCCAACTGCACCTAATCAGCTCTGCACCCCACCTTAGGACCCAGGAGAAGGGCACCCAAGATGGCCCAACCGCTGGCCCCACGGGAAGGACAGATGGGCACTTACTGAAACTTTGTTCTAAAAATAATAGCAGTGATAAGAAAGGGAGGCAGAAATTCCATTGGCCTCCAATGCCTGCACAAAAATACTAACAGTATCAAAAAAGAAAGAAAATGGTTTTTTTGTCCTTTATGACTAGTGACCATCATAATGCATGTTGAGGGGGGGAAACTGCCTATTTGTTTCAGTATCTTATTAAAGAATCAGCAAGACATAAATATTGTATTTTCTTGGACTGAATTTTCAGAATCTCAACCACCCAAGGCGTCTACCTCAATTTTTGGGTTGTTTTGTTTTGTTTTGTTTTAATGTAATATTAGATTTGGAAAATCTCTTTTTTCAGGGAAGACTCTTTTGCAGGAGCTTCTATCTTTAATTGGAAAAATTTAGATTCTATACCAAAATGAAATATCATGGAGAAGACTTAACAGTCTCAGCATCTAAATCTGGTAAAACACTCAAAACAATTAATTGTGCCTCATAAAAGTATTTGTCACATCAGGTAATCACAAGTGTTGGCAAGGATGTAGAGAAGTTGGAATCCTTTTACATGGCTGATGAGAATTATAAAATGGTGCTGCCACTTCGGAAAACAGTCTGGCAGTCCTCTCATTTTTTAAGGAATAAAGCTTTCTCTGGGTGCCTGGGTAGCTCAGTCGGTTAAGTGTCAGACTCTTGATCTCAACTCAGGTCATGATCTCGGGGTTGTGAGATTGAGCCCCGGGTCGGGCTCCACATTCAGCACGGAGTCTGCTTGAGATTCTCTCTCTCCCTCTCCCTCTGACCCTCCCCCTCCCCTCACGAAAGAAAGAAAGAGAGGAAGGAAGGAAGGCAGGCAGGGAGGGAGGGAGGAAGGAAGGAAGGCAGGGAGGGAGGGAGGAAAGAGAGAGAGAAAGCAAGCAAGCAAGCTTTCTCTACCTGCACTGGGGAGTCTGCTTTTAACACCTGGCATACCAGGGGAGTCTCCGCGAGGCTGAGAGACTGGCCTCAGCCACCAACCCTCTGTTCTTTCTCCCACAGTATGTGTCCAGCTGCCGAGCTGCCACTCAGAGCACACCAGAGCAAGGCAACGTCCCCCCTCACCACCTCACCCACCACCGCCGCCATCACCGCCCCCTCCCGCACCTTCGCCACCACGCTCGCCCGCACCACCTCCACCACCAGGAGGCGGGGCTGCACGCCGCCCAGGTGACGCCCTGCATGTGCCCCCTGTTCTCCTGCCAGTGGGAAGGCCACCTGGAGGTGGTGGTGCCCCACCTGCGGCAGATGCACAGGGTTGACATCCTTCAGGGAGCGGAGATCGTCTTCCTGGCCACGGACATGCACCTCCCCGCACCAGCCGACTGGATCATCATGCACTCCTGCCTGGGCCACCACTTTCTGCTGGTGCTTCGGAAACAGGAGAGGCATGAAGGGCACCCGCAGTTCTTTGCCACCATGATGCTGATCGGGACCCCCACCCAGGCCGACTGCTTCACCTATCGCCTGGAGCTCAACAGAAACCATCGGCGTCTCAAATGGGAGGCCACGCCCCGGTCTGTTCTCGAGTGCGTGGACTCGGTGATCACCGACGGGGACTGCCTCGTCCTCAACACCTCGCTGGCCCAGCTCTTCTCTGACAACGGCAGCCTGGCCATCGGGATCGCCATCACTGCCACGGAGGTCTGCTCCTCAGAAGCCGAGATGTGAAGCCAGAGGCCACCGGACGTTGGGGCGCAGCCACCCTGCACCCAGACGCTCTGCCTGTGTCCCTGGGAATCTCCGAATGCCAGGACCCCAGGCTTCTTTTTATTCTTCTCCCTCCTTCCCTCCTTCCTTCCTTTCTTTTTTTGTCTCAGGTACTTTGTGGTATTTAGCATTTGTCTGCCATGGGCATTATAGTAGGTAAACAGCCTGTGATTCAAGATCTTGGTGTGATGCTTGTCCTGACTTGTTGGTATAGCTTGATAGAGCATTTGTAATCCGATTCAGTCCGAATGGTGATGTCCTGCACCCCCAGTGCCCTTTTCCACTGCTTCCCACATGAGCAAAAGGCACCGAGGCCATGAAGCAGACTGCTGGGGTTAAAAGGAGATTTAGTGTCCAAATCATCTCTTCCTTCTCTCTTCAGTCTATTTCAGACCAAGCGAACTCTGAAATGCGTGAGGGCAGCAGGTTGGGGAAGGGGACCTGGCCAGCTCAGAGTCATGTTTCAGACCAACCAGACACAACTCTGACACCTTCCCGGGAACTTTAGGGTCAGAGCTAAGCTGCCTGGACGTGAGGAGATGGCCAGGGCATGAGGCTGGAGGTGACATCACATCATGAGGCTGCCAGGGTGACCTCTGTTGGCAGGCTGTTGTGAGCTTGCCATCAGCCTGGCCTGTCCTTTCCTGTTCTGGAGTCAAAGTCCTCATGTTTATGGTGCTCTCTTGCAAACCTCTTCGCCCTCTGTCGAGCAAGTAGGAGAAAAGAACAGGCAAGATGCAGGGGAAGAGAAGCTGTTGAGAAAAAAGATAAAATTAATCTCCCACCTCTGGGAGGGCGTTCTCTCTTCAGAGAGTTTTATTATCAAATTGTAAAATCCATCAATCCTTTCACTGGGGCCGAACTCTTTTATATCATGCGAAGAACCCACTTTACTCTTGATAGTCTGTAAACCAGAACCACAACTCAGCATCAAACACAAGGAACTGGGAGGGTGTGCCCAGGACCTCTGACCTCTGGAGGTCAGAGGTGGCTCATCCACCTGGGGTGGGGGAGAGGGGGGGCGTCCTCTTTCTTTTTCTTACTGTCTAAGAGCTCCAAGGGCCCCATTCAGCACACAAACATTGTCACTGGTCAACTATTATCAGCTCCCTGTTGCAGTGTGAATGAAAAGATGACAAAAATCCATCTTGCCTCTACATAGACTGCTTTCTCATATTTGCTTGTCAGAACAATTCAACACCTACTTGTAGAAGTCTCTCTTGTGTATTTGAAGAAAGTAAGCACATTTAATCGACTTTGTCTCTTCTGTTCAAAGGTGAACACCTTTCAGCCTTCCCAGTAGACCCTCTTCTCCCTCCTGTTTGATGTTTCTGTTCTCTCCTTGCCTACTCTCTGGTCGCTGAAAAGCATGGCACCCAAACCCCACACAACGCTTGTTAGAACTGAGCAAGCCTTCCGCCACCCAGACGTCGCTCTCTGCCCCGTTCCCTCACCTCGGCCACCTCAGCTGCATCTGGGCAGGCCTCCAAGTGAGTACTTAGTTTCGGGCAACTTGCCCTGGCTGGCCATCAGCAGTCTTTTCCCCACCAAAAATAAGTGATCCCGAAACACAATACCCTCCCCCCCAAATTAGGTAATCCTCCGGCCAACTGTGCTGCCAACCCACACCCCAAACACCAGAAGGGTGGGGCCAGTCAGTAGAAGATTTCATAATGCAGCCCCCTCTAGTCACACAGCCATCGCTGAGACCGTGGGGCCAAGCTTTTGTTAGGCTGGAGCCCTGAGGGGGCCAATAAACATCACATCACCGACTGAGGCAAACATCAGGTCACAGTCCCAAGGAAAGGGTTGTAACCTGCTCGCTCTGTCAGAACATCCTCCCAGGGCACCAGCTCTGCCCTCAAACCACACAGACAGCCTGGGAACAAGCTGAGGCTGGTAGGCCAGCACTGGGAGAGACTGGCTCACTTGGTTCCTTCCTTTATCCCCAGGCCCTTCCCCAAAACCTCAGATCTCCTTGCCTGTAAGTTTGATACTTCGAGAAGCCGCAGTCCCTCCCCTGGTTTCTGATACTCAGCTACTGTGAAACATTTCTGTAGCATCACAGGTGCCCCAGAGAAACCAACAGACAAAACCTCAACCAGAATATAATTACAGTCCACAGGGGCCTTAGGATTCCTGCAAACATCACCTCTGCCTTCTTGTGGTGCTGTTACCTGAGCCAAAAGGGGAATAACTTCCGGTTATTATTGCACACAAGACTGTATTATGAATGGGTAGCCCCAGATAGGAACTTGTATTTTCAGTACTTAGGAATGTTTAGAATAAAGGGTAGAAATGTTTTATTTTCATCCATCAACGGTGCTCCCAAGAAGGCCTTTCTCCCCATAGCCACTTGTGAGGAGTTGAAGAAAAAAGAGCAAACCAAAAACAATGAGTGGAGAAGAGAAAACAGCATCAAAAGAGCCTGTGGTGGTGAGCTCTGGCATCACAAATGGTCCCGCATTCCAGTCTCAGGTTAATCCTTAACGGCATCTTCAATATACTAGAAATAATAGAGATTCTGAGACATGAAATGACCTTCCCAAGGTCACACATCAAGTGGTTAGGGCCGTGATTAGAACCCGGCCAACTGACTACAATTTGGTGTTCTTGAAAAAGGAAGACTGACCCCAGATATTCAACAGTGTTCCCACCTCATCAGTGGACTATGGTCCCAGGGGTCAACCAGGTCTTTGTTCTGGGATACCTGAGGGTTCAGGGGGAGAGAGAGAGAGACAGGAGGGGATTTGCTTTTAAAGGCAGCTCAGCTTAAAGAACTGGTCAACCTGGAAGCAGGGGGTGGAGTAGGGCACGTGGGAACCGGCTGTGGAGTCTTCCGTGTCCTTGAACGCATCACCCACCCACTCCAGGATCCTCATTCTTAGATTTCCCAGAGTCTGGAGTCCGTCCCGTGAAGAGCCCTGGGATCCCAGGACCTCATTCACACCCAGGTGCTGACTTAATGACTCAGCTTCTAAGGGGTATCTGCATTTTAGAAGTAGCCCTAGGGAGAGAGCCCCACCTACAGCAAGAAATGAGTTGCTGGTACTTAAACTCCAGGCATCTGTGAGAATGATTTTTTTTCAGGAGGTGTGGACATTCCTCCCCTGGAGGCTGTGCCTACATAAATAGTCGATGCTGAAATGGAGGTCAGCCCATACAAAGAAGGCTATCTTTAACAGTCTTTGCATGAACCTGCATCTGAAATAGATCCCATCACTACCCATGGCTACTTCTGACACTTTAGAAATGGGCCAGGTTAATAATAGTAACAGGACTCGTGGCTACCATTTATTGAAGGTTTACTGTGTGACACAGTAAGTTGAATACTTTGAATATATTATTCTCATTTCATCCCCATAACAACCTTATGAAACAGGTACCATTATTGTACGGGTGAGAAATTAAGCTGAGAGAGTTTGGACCTTGTTTAAGGTCACACAGCCAGCAAATAGTAGAGCTAGGTCTGGAACCCACATGTCTAACTCCAAAGTCCAGGCCAATATCAACTCGTGCTATTTCTATGAATTCGTGGACCCAAGGCTCAGAAAGTCTGAATGGCATAGAGGCCTTTTAGGACTCACCATGCCCTTTCGTTTCTCCTTTTTCCCACTCTTCTCCCAGCCCAAGACAGGCTGGTGGGCCAGAGTTGGTTTGTATACCAGTTGTTAAATGTTTTAGGAATTCTGCAAGCGAAGCACAGCCATGACTAAAAATTAAATTATATAAATGTACAATTAGTTATAATAAAAACAAAGGTAACAACTATTCAAAACTCCTCACTTCCTAATTATTTCACTACTCTTTTATTTTCTGTGCTCTTGAGATTATTTACATCTACCATAATTGTCTGGCGAACATATCACACAGTGATGCGCTCCCAACTCCATACTGAGTGACGTTACAGCAATAGTTTAAAATTGGCTGTGGTGGTAGTGTTTACACGACTGGAAACTGGCAAATGTGATAAGCCAGGGCTTTTCCCCCTTGGAGAACTAGCTGTTAAACATTTACCGAAACATCTCTTTTGCACAGAGTCTGGAGGAGAGAGGACTTTGGAAGGAGAAGTAAAACTCTGTTGGCCACACTGACAGGGACACAGATCACGGCCAAGCTAGAACAGCGAATTATGGGGAAAACACGATCTGTTCTGTAGAAAGGAGTCTGGGGCTTCTAAGCAGCTTCAGGGGCATTCCCTGCCCTACTCCAGACCCTGCTCGATTGCTGTTAGCGCAGGAAGTTCTATCTGATGACTTTCATGGAAAAGTCATAGCTCCACGAAACCAGCTTATTGGCCATCCCAATCCAAAAAGTAAAATCAAGCTCTACAGGACTGGATGATCCTGTTACTTGTTCTTACAGGTCATCTTTCTTATCTCTACATGTAGACCAAAACCTCATCTAAAGAAATATTTTACTTTGGAAAGAAGAAAAGAAAAAGAAATACTTTACTTTGAAATTAATGATTGGAAATATCCCACATCTGAGAAGGGCACAGTGAGCAGTGGTTTCTAGCATCACATAAAATGTGTTACCACCAAAGTAGGACCCTTACACAGCACAAAGCTGAGGGACAGAAAAGGCAACGGGTCAAGGGACGTCACGTAAAGAACAGAGCCCAGCACCTTACTTTCCTACTCCAGCTACTTCACTGCAACCCAACAAAGGATCCTGTTCACAATCCATAGCCTACTCCACCTACTCTCACCAATACTCTTTCTAAATGAAGGGCATGGTTCCTGCTAAGGTAAAAGTCACAGGAAACTCCAGGCTGTGTTTGGAAGCAGACAGAACCTCAAGGTCAACAGCGAATCAGTTACTCTGATCCCAGTGGTTTCGATGTGGGGGAGGGAAGAACTGATGCTTGCTGATGCTTCCACTTAGATCCAATTTCTGGCAGAAGGTGAAGGGACTGGACGTCACAAAACTGTGCTTTGATTAAAAGTTCAACTACAAATAGCACCGAAAGTAGAGTCTCCCAGTAGATTGTTAGATATTCTGATTATTCGTTCTGAAAATTTCCTTCAAGAACTAGGAGTTCTCCATTGTGTTAACCTGGAGAATGGCCAGCCAAAAACACCTCACCGAAAAGAGAT